GACATTGGACAGCGGTGACCCATGGTGAGTCAGAGGCCATTGTCAAAACCTACACACTGATAATAGACCCTGTGGAAGTACGGAATACATTGCCGTATTTGTATTAGTGCTCCTGCTGACAGGTAGGCAGAGGTTTTTGCCCAATTATAGAGGGAAAGGGATGAAGCTAGATAAGGCGGGCCACTAGAACAGAACCTAATGAGGACGTGGTATGATTGCTACGGGACTGGATAGACACGCGCTCATTTTGAGCCCACAGTGAGCGCATTCGATTGGTAGAGAACGGCCGAGTTGAAGTGGCACAGAGCGATAGAGATGGATGGGGAGAGATAATGGAAGTGAGAAGGATTGATTCCTCACTCAGTGTGAGAGCATGTGGGAGGAGATGAGATGTTGAGACTGAAAGTGGGAAAAAGAGAAATGGATACAGAAAGTAAGTGAGTAGTCAGTCCATCCAGTCAACTACCCTCGCTCTCGCTTTTTTATCCGTCCATCCATCCAACTAATCACGCCGCAGCTAGCAGAGGCAGCGCTGGGGGGAAATCGTCCATAATGATACAAGTCCTCAAAGTATAGTCCCCCCCCTGCATGCAACACATTAAAGCCTGTAATACAACCAACACTTTGTGAAGGCCGTGCAGTGTAGCGTTTCACTAGAGAGAGAACAAAACCTGGAAAACAATGCCCAACACAAAACGGCAAGGGAGTGCTCAACGAGAGACCATTTCCATTCAGACATTTAATGGATCCGTGTGGATAGCTGTTCATTGTACCAGACTGAAAAGAGACATAGCTATCCTTTACATCCACATATAGGAATACATCCTTACGTAATCAGTGGTGCACTTTGTGAGAAAGGTTGGTCGGTGAATCCTACAGAAGCAGTACACGATCCATTTAGCGTATATCACTGTACACAAAAAAACATGGTCCTTGAAAAGGTGTTTTTTGAAGTTTGAGGTACAATTCCACTCCCTCCTGTTTTGACTATATAATACAATATGACTGGAAATGCTACTTTGCCGCAGACACGGTGACTCGATGCCATCTGAACTGACACTCACTGCCCGGTGCTGAGGGTGTCTGAGTGTGATTGGAATATTTTATACTGCAGTGCTCTCTGTCCAAGTGCGACACACATGTATCTGCTTTTAAAGTACAAAGAATACTGCAAATACATGTTTTAGGCGGTTTTTGTTCAGCCTTATGTATCAGTGCAAAATACAATCTCTTTCCATAGCTTGAAAGTTTCACGATAAAAAACTAAAATGCTTTTAATAAGCCTGAAACTGAACATGGCCTCTGTTGACTTTGCATGTAGAGGGACACATGATATGGAACCATCATGGATTTAAATTGGATCCAATGACAAACATGTTTAACTGAAATCAATATATCTTACTATCTAAGATCATATCTGGGCATAAATACTTGGTTTGATCCAGTGCATTCCCACAATTTATATAAAACATTACAAATAAAAACATATATTTAAGCGCAGTGTCATTATTCTCGCAAAATATTTGTTTACTGTACAAAACAAATGTGGATTTCATCTTCTTTGAGTGACTTCCAGACATCCACTGACTGTGATGACCAATGGCGTTACTTGAACCCCGGCAGCGTTTAATAAAAAGCACTCAAGCACTTCATTTATTTTTGATCTCTCATTATATTCCTTTCTTCCACTTGCTATTATCATCTCCATCACTCTTCCCTGGTGTGTTAGCATCACTCTTTAAACTATCTCTCCTTCCTGGTCTCTCTCCCCCTCCCTCTTCATACTTGTGTGAACATAGTAGTGTCTGTATCTGTGTGTGCGTGTGCGTGTGCGTGTGTGTGTGGGAGGAGGGAGGAGAGCAGCATCTCTGGCTGGAGGAGGAGGTGAGAGAGAAAGAAGCGACAGAGGGAAAGAGAGAGAGAAGCACAGAATTTACTGGAACAACACACGCCGTTTCAATCACATAGATAAGAGCCGCCTACTCACCATGTTTTATCTCAAAGCAGATTACTCCTCATTTGAACAATATATTACATTATAATCCCTAAGTATATTGCATTATTTATAACCTGGGACCACGAGAACATTATCATTTCGATTTTGCCACCCAAAAGGAACTACATTAGAGCTGCTATTCCCACCATCTGTCGAGTGTCTAGATAGATTAACTCCATATCTCAAGTAGGTGGAATTCACTTTTTAGTTACTAGGAAAGACCGGTTTACTTCATTTTGGATAATAGTATTAACAAATTGCAGTGTTTTTTCCTTGTCAACAGATACTAGTGATTAAGGTATATAACAAATGCTCAATAAAATGGGAGGGAGTTTTGATTTCTTATGGGGGTCAAGTGTTTCCCCTAGGATGGAGTCATAGCAGCGGTGCTAAGGCACGCGGGCCCAGCAAAATGTGAGCACGGAGCGTGTGGAATTTTTTAGTGTGTGCGCGTGCGAAGTGCGCCCTGCCAATATGTTTCTATGTGTCTGCCAGCACAAGAAAGGCTCTTGAGGCCTAGTACATACAGTGGCAATGTCTCAAGATTTAGCAAAATACACCTTTATTGAACATACAGTAACACAAATACTACAAATCCACATAACAAACAATCAAAAAGGGTCTGCGCCTCCAACCCATGCATTTCCCCCTTCTCCACCTCTTTACTTCCTTCCTTAGTCTTTTTTTTTTTTTGGTGGATGTGGTCATTTATTAGCTGCAGTTACAGGGGAATACACACACGCAGGATAATTGAATGCTCTATGGCAGGGGTGCCCAACCAGTCGATCGAGATTCCCAGTCGATCGCGAGATGTGTCTAAAAATAGAACAACAATATTCTGTTTTATCGTTAATGTCCCTATAACATAATCTTCCTGTGCCAGAATAATGCACTTGAACGCATCAAAGCTTTGTGATTGGCCGGCGTGACCCCACGTGTCGGGGCGTGGCTGGTGGGCAGTGGGCACTAGTTCGCTGACGTTGTCCGTGGCAACAGGAGTGACAGTCCGCACACACACAAGACCACAATTATGGCAGAAGCAAAAAAGCCCAAAATATATAATTTTCACTCCGAGTGGGAGGATGATTATTTTTGTATCTATTCCAATTCAAAGTCCATCTGTCTCTCATCTGCAATGCGAGCGTGGCTTTATCGAAGAAGGGTAATTTAGGAGTGGCATTTCAAAACAGTGCACAAACGCTACGAGACGGAATTCCCTCCTAATTCTGCCCTACGCTCCCAAAAGGTGAGGGACCTGAAAGGACAGCTAAATGCACAGCAGTCCATTTTCACCAGGCCCAACAACAAGAGCAAGGCTGCTACCATAGCATCTTATCGTGTCAGTCACGTTCTTGCGAAACACATGAAGTCTTTCAAAGACGGCGAAGTTGTGAAAGAAGCATTCCTGGAGGCTGCTGACGCGCTTTTTGGGGACAGTAAAAATAACAGTAGCATTTCAACAGGTTTTTGATATAATAAAAACTCAAGTTAGATACCGTTATTAATCAGCTGTAAGTTTTAGTTTGTTTGAACTTATTCATTATAATTATTGTACAAAATGGTATAAGAATGCAAACATTAAGATCTGTTCTGTTTAAATTGATTATAGTCTATTATCAATTCAGGTTAAGAAACTAGTGTTGCTTGCATCCTATTTTAAAAGGCATTTCTTTAAAATGCAACAAAAAAAGGGTTTGATTCTATTAATTTTGTCTTTTTTATTGCACTTTGGCAGCAGATCCCTGTGTAGCTTCAGATCTGAGTTGTCTTATTAGTAAAACTAATTTATACTTTTGTAGCAACACTATTTTTATATAATGGCAAAGAAAGGGTTCAGTGTCTTTTCTTTTTTCCTGTGTCATATGTGGCAGCACTGTTCAATGTTTCTTGAAAACATTACCCACTGTAGTATGTGACGTGTGAATAAACTCCAACTCTGTATCAACAACACTGTCGTGTAACTTCAGTTAAATACTTGTGTGTGGATTAGAAAGAGGTAAGATAAAGGATCTGCCGTATTTTATGAAGTATTAATCGTACAAAGGTCAGTTTTATACAAGTAGAAGTGTGTATTTACCTGGCTGTCAGTAATGGCTACGCCTCTCTATTTGGACTGGTAGATCTCGGCAGACTGGCAACTTTAAAAGTAGCTCTCGGTTCAAAAAAGGTTGGGCACCCCTGCTCTATGGGATCGTACAATTCTCCGCCAATCTCCAGAACTGCTGTGTAGTACAAAATAATAATCACTGGACGCATTTGGCTAGCTATACAGTTTAGTTACAGTGATTGTGTAGTGGATTAACTAATAAACTATTTTAGAAAATAAAACTTCCATTTCGAATTACAAAAACCTATAATTAAAAGAAACTATACTTGAGGTGATTGTGTCCAAATAAAGTTATCTGTCTGCTTCAACTTGCTGTTGTCTGTCTTGTCAGGCAGCTTTCCTTCAGCTGTGAAATTGACAGCTTTCCCGCGTATCGGTGGCGCGCAAAGTTGCCGCGAGCGCTAGGGGGCGCCACTTATTATTGCGCCGCCGCTATTTGTATATAGGGGAAACACTGAGGTCACTTTTTCAATATACTACGACTACACATGCAGAGCTACAGGTGGTTTGATGAAGAAAAAAGCAAGGAAATACATGTAAGAGATATAAAATTGCATGGAAATAGGAAAAAGTGGCTGGTCATTAGTTCAAGAGGGCATGTAAAAAGGAATGTCTTTCGATAAAAATGTAACAGTAGCCAAATGTCTATCGTCAGCAAAATTCAACCAAAGGTGGAAACAATGACACAGACTAATATTGGTGTTCTTTCTCCTGTAAACGCTCTGTAATAAAGGGTAATTTACTTCAAAAGTGGTCTTTTTTGGAAAGAATAAGTGCATCAGAAGAACAGTTTCCTTGACAACTACAAGTGCCACCTGACGAATGTACCCCAAACTAGGAAAATCCAGCTTATTGTCAGCAGACCCTCAAACCCAACTGAGGCATTTGGATACTCACTGATGATTCCTTGTTGAAGCCAGTAAACTCAGAGACACAGGCTCCCAGGTGACCCTGAAACAGAGACAGGTACTTATTAAGATTAAAATACAATAACATACAATACATCCCTTTGTATTCCAAAATGTTCTATATCTTGGCAGATACGTGCATTTTTTTAAAGGATTGGTAACAAATTACAATCCTTTTCTCCAACAGAACTCGACACTCAGGGGGGACTTGGTTCAGAGCTAAACATCTTCTCTCGAGCGATCACATCACACCAACTGGATTGATAGTAATAATCAGCTAATAATAATACTTTCAGCTCTAAAATAAGCAGAAACCTGACCAGTCCATGGCTATCCGTACTAACTGTGTTGCCTGAACTATAACATCCAGCCTAGACATATTACAATGCTAACAGGCACTGTGCATACCAGGACAGATTGTAATATTCCTCAAGACAAAACCTGTCCAAGTCAGAATTTGGTTTAGGTTTCAGGAAATACGTCAAGACTTTGGAGACTGGTTTTATTTGATACCCTTACCTAAAAGGCTAAACCCCCATGAGAACAATGTTCCACAACAGAGTCATGATGAAAAACATGAAAATAAGAGCCAACAACAACAAGAGCCTTTGGCTTTCCCTTTCAGATCGCAAATTCTGAACTGTAACCCATGGAAAAGTGTGCATGACTAAACGACTGCCTGCTTTTGTTACATTTCATCTTGTTATAATGGCTGAACGAGACACTCTGCATATCCCTACAACATATGGGCCACACTCCCTATCTTTTGCACAGTGACATAAGATCTCTCAGCTTGTTAAATCAGCTTTAAAAGCCTCTGAGAAAACATATCAGTGGCAACTTTGATGGAGTATCTAAAAGTAGTTGTGTTTATCCAAGTTCAGAGACCATCACAAGTCCACTAACAAGACTCTGAAACTCATCCTCATGACTGTAATGATGCATAGAGCCTAATTGTCACGGTCTAATGCATGTCATCCATTAGAGATGATACAGAAGGAACTGGTGCTCATAGCCAGCTTGTGTGAAAGCACAAAAGAAAAGAAGAGTGTGCAAAGTGAAAAAACACAAACCTGCGAGAAAAAACATGCATGCTAACCAGAACAGTTGGTGACAAAGGTTGACAAGAGTGCAAAAAAAGTGTATTCACAGCTCAAATATCAGGCAGTTCTTTCGAAACTCACACCAACACACACTTTTTTTTATCCTTCGCTCTTAGGTTGGCTACATTTCCTGGATAGCAGCAGCAGCAGTCGTCAACTCTTCAGACTTGATATACGTTTCATCTGTGAGGTCTTGTGAATTCCTTTAATTTGTACTCATCACAATCAACTTTAATATCTTGCTTTCAACCAGATATCACCAATCCAGTAACTATCGTGCTGGCCACAATCAGTGTTTCCGCCAGACCAGGGCTGAGAGCAAGAACGTTGTGTCACGTGACTTGAATTTTTGAATTGAGCCGTCCCTTATAGATACTATCTCTTTACGTATGCACACACACACACAATAGACAATAGTAACGTGTGTCAATACATGATACATCATTAACCTAGTATCAAATCACTGCTGCCGACAGGTGCGTATCGGTGGCGCGCAAAGTTGCCGCGAGCGCTAGGGGGCGCCACTTATTATTATTTTAATAAAAAAACTGCCCCCTAGCAGCGGTGTGCATATTTCAGCCGCCATTTTATATATCAAATGGCGGCAAGACCCCGGTTGCGTTCGAATACTCCAAAAAAACAGCTCCTAAGTTCTAACCCTATCGTCTATTCCTTGACCTCGGAGTGAAACGTCATGGGGTTAAGGGATAGTGGATAGGAGAATTCAAAAGGATTTAGGAGAAGAGACTGCGGCACTTTAGAGAATCCGACTGCACTTTCACTATCCGACGTGTTTATGATGCGCCAGCAGGTCATAAATGTGCGCCTGCTGCTGTGGGGAAACTATGGAAACTACAGTTTTCTATACAGCGGACTACAACATGGATGTTTAATAAGAACGAGGGACTACTGTAAACTCATCTAGAGACTCTGCACCGTGCTCTGATGCTGTTGTTTTATGCTTTATGAACGGGGACAACAGAGAAACATATTCTTCATGACCAAAGTTGGAATTGAAATAAAAAAGGAAAGTGAAACTTATGCTCGTCACCCTCTCCCTCCGGTCCACATTAATACAAATGATCCCAATACATATGATTGTATGAAAAGATCTTAAAATCAATACAAATGTATTTATTATAAACGTTAGTCCTTAACATCTATCACTGTGTATATCACCATTCAAACATCTTTTAAAAGTTGAACAAACCCCACACAGCTCAGTAAAGACTGTGAAATGTTGACTTTATTTGATCATTTCAGTAAAAACTAACGTTCATATTTCTCTTTTTGATTATAATACTGATGAACGTTCAAAACAAAGCACTTTGGCAACTTACCACATACGTTTTAAAATGCTTAATAAGCACCGTAACTTTCATGATATCATTTCTCGTTCATAATCGGTTGTTTCCGTGAACGGCCGACTGTTGTGTGACGGCAAATGCTGCGGCCGCAAGGCATTGTGGGGCAGCATTTTCTCCTCTCCTTTCGGTTAGGGAGGTCCAGTGGTTCCTAGGCTAAAGGAGGTTATAAAGGAAGTTTGAAACCTCCTTTCCTTTTAATTTAGAGAATTCGAACGGCACTTATCATGGCTGCCACTGAGGGACTTCCGGGTCATTTCACTCCGTTAGGAAGGTTCCTAAGCTAAATGGACTATTCGAATGCAACCCCCATTTTATATATCAAATGGCTGCAAGACGCCATTTTATATATCAAATGGCGGCAAGACGCCATTTTATATATCAAATGGCGGCAAGACGCCATTTTATATATCAAATGGCGGCAAGACGCCCGCCTGATGGAAACGCTGGCCACAATGCTGGGCAACATGGCTGACATATCTGACAAACATCATTTGTATGGACTGGACTTGACTTGATGTGATTGACAGCTTAATTGAACGAGCTCCATGAAAAACTAATTAATAAATACAGAAAAATTAACCGGTTAAGTATTATTAACATAAACTGGGCTGGCATAATATATTTCTTATGGAAGGTCAAGTCTCTTGTTTGACCAACCTTGAAAAAGGTCTTAAATTGGAGATTCTCTTCAGCGTTTTCTCTTCATTGTCTCATTCAGTAACTGAGATTATAACACACTTGAGTTACATATTTAGTTCCGAGGATATCATCTTGGAAAAAAGTGTTTAACAGCTAGTCTCCAAAGTCATGCCCACTTGCAATTTCAAATCATAAATCAACACCTGGTAATGATTCAGGAAATTGTTTAGCAGAGGTGGTAAGTGACGGACACGTATAACAAATCCCTTCCTGTCATCTGCTGAGATTAATTGGACAAACACTGACAAAAGTCATTAGTTAAGTCACTGGAGGAAGGAGTAAAGAGTTTTCTGAATCAATACATGTGTTTATACTTTACTGATTGATAGAGTGCCTCTGCCCTTTATTCTGAAGGTTAATGTCATATTTTGTAGAAGTGTAATTATTTCCTCTGACGTTAGCGAGGAGGGCGTATCGGCAAATACCAAGATACAAAGTTCTATGTATCGAATATGCTGTATATTCAAGGTCACCTATTGAGCAAAATCCACTTTTTCATGTCTTTCATACATCAACATGTGTCCCCTCTGTGGAAAGAGATTCTGAAACTTTCAGGAAAAAAGATTCTCTCACTTTTTGTCCTGATCCATTTATAATAAAAACCTGTCTGAAAATGAGCTGATCAGATTTTGGCCACTTTATGATGTCATCATGTTTTTTTGGCTTGTGTAACCATTAGCCAATCACCAACCAAGGTAACCCCCCCCCCCCACCGTATCACCTGAATCTCCTCCTAGAGCACCATTGAGTTCTTTCTAACCAAATATCTCTCAGAGGGGCGTGGGGAGGGGCTCCTTATTTTCATCTAAAGTAACAGACAGAGAATCAGCACTTTTGAAACAGGGCTGAAACAGAGGGGATTATGGGATGCTGCAATGATCTGTTTGGTATTTCGAGCCAAACACTTCAGAGACATGTTTTGTATATATCTGAGACCTATAATAAAGTAATGAAAAACAGTATAATAGGGGACCTTTAACATACTATACTACGTTACTCAATGATATGCCTATAAAAAAACTGTGCTGAAACTGCAAATCAACGTGTTGTCCAATAAAAAGCAGCTTCAGGATGATCACCCATTTGAGACAGAAAAAACTGCATTTCCTCTACTCCTAACTTCCTATTATAAATAAACGTATTCTAATATTCAACTCCTGAACTCGCTTCGTAGTCAGATTGATTCTCCAACTCCATTTGTATGTTGTTATTCTAAACAGTCGGCTTCATTACTATCTCTCCATATGCCAAGCTATTAGTACAGCCTCCTAACCGGACCTTGGACTGCTCGTAGTCTGCTATCCTCAGGCTGCGTTCAGCCTAATGAGGCTCGCTAATGGTCCACCCATGTCAATCTGGAGAAAACATTCTCCTCTATGCAAACTGGAACACAGTTGCTCAGTACACTAACTCACACTTTCCACCATCATCAACATTTGCTTAGCTGATGTAAGGACACACATAAGAAAAGCACAATTCAACTTTACGCAATACGTCTGTTTGTCATCCTATCATGCTGTATATTACACTCTGCATTCATCTTTCCCTTATCATTTATTTTCTACACCACTGCTGATTATATTCTTGTGTTTTAAACCTGTCTTGTTATAGTTCAGCTTGTTTTAGATCCCTATAATGTTGGCCCTTAAATAGCTGTATCTTACACTCTGCATTCATCTTTCCCTCAGCTTCCTTTGCACATTGTCTTAATGCTTTTGATGTTTTATGTGAAGTACTTTGAATTGCTGTGTTGCTGAAATGTGCTATATAAATAAACGTGCCTTTCCCTGCTCAACAGATCTGTAGATGTTAACTTGTGCTGGTATATCCTGTTTTAAGGCTGTTAAAGATCTCTCTTTTTAAAGGTCCCATGT